CGCGCCACAGTCCTCTGGGTCCTGCCGTTGCCATCCTCCAGGGCCTGCCTGGGGACCTGCCCTGACCGCGGAACTCCAGGCCGCAAAGGCGCCCCGCCCCGCCCCTGGAGAAAACGGCCACCCCCACCCACCCCACATCCCCAGGCCTTCCTGAAAAGTAGGCAGACAGACCAGTGATTTCCGCTCTCATACTTTATTTCAGCTCAGGACAAGACGGGAGTCCCCACAGCTCCCGGGCTGGCTTATAGGCGCACCACCCCCCCGCACTCCCCCCCCAAACACACACACACACACACACACACACACACACAAGGGATTGGGTATTTAGGGTGGCCGGGAGTTCCATAGGCTCTCGGCCAGGGAGCCTAGCCTGCCCACAGGTGCCGTCTGGGATCCGCTGGTCCCATTGTTCCAGCCAGCAGAGCTCAGCCGCTTCGCATGACCGCGTGGCACAATGGCCACACACGGGTGGTCTGAGATGGATACATTACACCCCCTCCCCCCCCCTTGCTCCAAGACACACACACACACACACACAGTCCTGCACGTAGGAGGGTTCTCATAGAGCGGCAAGGTGTGGGAACCGGGGCGGAAGGTGACACCGGAGCGCCCGGCTGAGGAGAGATGGCCGGTGTTGGCGGTTGTGGTGCTAGTAGCACTGTTTCTTGGGCACGGTCGTGCTGTCAGTTGGAGAATCAACTGGTGCCTCCTTGTGCCAGGCAAGGCTGCATGTCCAGTAGCTGAGGTGGAGAGGGAGTTTCCGGGGTGTCTGGGTCTCTGAAGTCCTCTGGGTCGTATGGCAATACCCACCGCCGCAGCTGATCAGTGTGGCGGTGTAATATCTGGCCATCCTCACTGGAAACCTCGTAGGACCTCGGTCCCCGGACTCTCACCACCCGGGCCGGAATCCATGGCGGGCCTTGCACATAGTTCCAGGCATAGACCGGGTCCTCGGGAAAAAACCCTCTGGCCGCCTCAGGTGACTCTTCTTCCGGGGCTTGATCGGGATGAAGGCAATCGTGAACAGCCGACCGTACAAGTAGTGGTGGGATTTTTTCCCCCCCGCCACAATAGCCAGCGCCTCCTTGTCGATCTGTGCATAGTTATGCTCGGCAGAAGACGGGGTGCGGGAATAATAAGCTACCGGAACCTCCTGGCCGTCCAGTAACTGGTGGCCCAAGACTGCCCCAACCCCGTATGGAAAGGCATCGCAGGCCAGGACCACGGGAAGGGCCTCATTGAAATGGGAGAGGACTGAGTTGGAGACAAGAAGGTCTTTAACTGCCTGGAAGGCAGTGGCATGCTCTGGGCCCCAGACCCACGGAGCGTTTTTATCCAGTAGGCGGTGCAGAGGTTCCGCCACAGCAGCCTTCAGAGGGAGAAAAGAGTGATAGAAGTTTAATAGGCCTAGGTGTGAGGAAAGCCTGTAATTCCGTCTTGGATGTAGGTGGGGGAGCCTGCGAGATAGCCTTTGTTTTCTCTTCCGTGGGGTGGATACCCTGGGCGTCTACGGCGAACCCCAAGAACTCCACCTTGGGAACCCCGAGCAAGCATTTCTCCCGCTTGACCTTCAGCCCAGCTGTGTCGAAACGCTGGAGCACCACCCACAGTTGGTTGGCAAAGGTCGAGGTATCTGGGGCCGCGATGAGCACGTCGTCTAGCAATGGCTGCACTCCTGGAATACCTTTTAAGAAATTATCCATGAAAGATTGAAATATTCCTGGTGCGACCAATACCCCAAACTGGAACCTATGTACCTTGAAAGCCCCCTTGTGTGTTGCTATCATTTGGGCTTCTGCCATGGCAGCATCCACCGGCAGTTGCTGGTAGGCCTGGGCCAAGTCCAGTTTGCCGAAAATCCTTGCCCCCCCCGCCAGTGCGGCTAACACATGGCTGACCACCGGTACCGGGTACACGTGGTCTTGGAGGGCTTTGTTCAATGTGCACTTATATTCCGCACAAATCCGCACGTCACCATTTGACTTGACCGGGGTGACTATTGTGGTCTCCCACCGTGCGGAAGCGATGGGCTCTAACACCCCCTGGGCAACCAAGCGATCAAGCTCTGCCTCGATCTTTGGCCTCATCGCTCTGGGGGGGTGCCTGGCCTTAACCTGGATGGGGCGGATAGCTGGGTCAAGGTCTAGGAAAATGGGGGCTCCTGTGTAGCAGCCGAGTGTGCCATCGAAAACCCTGGGGAACTCATTGCACACAGCCGCAGAGTCCTCAACACGGAGCTGATTCACCCCCGCCCAGGGGCCCGAACCAAGAAAGTCCCAGCAGACTGGAGAGCCTCCCCTCCACCACCACCATCACCAAGTCCAGTTTTCCACAGAAGTCCTGAAACTGCACCGTAAACTTGCCCCAGCCCCGAACCGCCACAGGGTTCTTGTTAAAGACCCGTAACTTAAACCCCTGTGGTTTATGCAGAGGGTGTCCCCCCCCCCCGTGGGCAGAGTGAGTGCGGCGTTTCTTCCGAAATTATGGAATAGCAAGAGCCAGTGTCTATTTCCATGCTGCAGGGGGACCCCTCTATAAGCACCGTCACATGCACCTTATTTGGGCTATCGGGGGGCAAGTTACATACCTGGTGCTGCTGGTGGTGGGCTGAGAGGGTATGCAGGTCCGTGTGTTGATCCAAGGTCTGGTGGGTCGAAGCCTTCTGTGGTGGTGGTCGGGAGCCGCAGACCCTGGCAATGTGGCCCGGCTCATTGCAGGAGCAGCAGACGGCGTCCCGGAACCGGCAGCTGCGGCGTTCGTGCGCTTCCCCACAGCTGGCGCATTGGGATGGTGCCAAGGGGGCTTTGGCCGATTGTGCTCCCCCGGGGTGATGCTGCTGGGAGGGACGGCGGTGGACCTGGAGCACTTCATCGTTCTGGGAGTCGTCCGACTCGAGCGTTGCTTGAGTGTGATGGACCACCCGCACGCGGCGCTCTTGGTGCGCCTTCTCGTAGGCCGTTGCCTCCCTGAGCGCCTTGTCTAGGTCCAGGTCGTCCTGGCTAACCAGTTTCCTCCAGAGTTTTGGTTCCCAGAGACCCAAAAGGAACTGGTTTAGCAAGGCGTCCGCCAGGTGGGAAAATGAACACCTGGTGGCCACCCACTGGAACCCGGCCAAGAACTCAGAGGCTGGCTTGTCCGGCCCCTGGACCCGTGCAAAAAAGTCCATGCTTCAGCAAACTGTTACATACCTGGTGCTGCTGGTGGTGGGCTGAGAGGGTATGCAGGTCCGTGTGTTGATCCAAGGTCTGGTGGGTCGAAGCCTTCTGTGGTGGTGGTCGGGAGCCGCAGACCCTGGCAATGTGGCCCGGCTCATTGCAGGAGCAGCAGACGGCGTCCTGGAACCGGCAGCTGCGGCGTTCACCTTTGGTGAAAGGTGGTCGGTCAGCGCTTTCACCAGCATCACATAGGACTCGTCCTTGGTCTGCTTAGGCGCAATGAGGTCCTTAAGCAGCAAGACGGTGTCTATGCCACAGGACCGGAGTAGATGGCCTTTTTTCTTACTCGGGTCTACGATGTCGTGGCACTCGAAGTAGCTCTCCAGGATCTCGAGCCAGGTCTCCCACTCTGCGGGGCGGGAGATGTCAAAAGCAGCGATGCTTTCCTCGGAGGCAGCCATTGTACTACTACATGTGGCGAGGGTAGCTCGGGAACGGCGGCGACTGCTGGAGTGAGGCAGGAAACGCTGCTGCTCTCGGGGTCAGCAGAG